GAGGCAAGGCTGCCACACACAGGCGCCACTGGACCCTCTGACCACCAGAGGTAGGCAAGGCGGGTAAGGTGTCTTGCCCAAGGACACAATGACTGAGATGACTGGATGGGGATCGAACCGGGGACCTTCCAGTTCCAGGACAACTCCCCTAACCTCTCTACCACAGCTGCCCTTATTTAGAGACAATGTGAAAAATAAAATAATAAATAATAAAATAAAATAAAATAAATAAAAAAATACTATAACTCAGTGTATTATTTTGGATATTGACATTAAAGATGATGAGACTGATCCTCAACATACATTAGAATTTTGTTTAAGATTTAGTTATTAAAGGGGCAATATTATGTGTTCTCGTGCATATATTTAAATTCTATTCCAAACTAAAGTAACTATGTCACCTTCAGTTGTTATTAAAATGTTGTTTRTATGTTTAAATAAAAAATAAGCTTGATTTCTCATCAAATCTGTTTATAAAACCTTGAAATTGTTCTCTGTCTCTTTAAAGAACATCCTTCCACTTCTGTCCCGCCCATTTCAGGACAAAGCCTGGTGTGTGTGCTCTGTGATGAGGAAGCACAGCTTGGAGACACAGTACAGARGAGGAGATGATCCCAAAAGGTGGTTCTAGTCCCAACTGGTTGTTTTTACTCCCCTGCCTGTTGCCTCAGGACACTACAGGATTTCTCAAACATGCATGAATGAGTCAAAGCAAGACTCATTCATGCATATAAAACTAAAAAAGGTTGATTTTACATGATATTGCCCCTTTAACTATTTGGATTCAATACTGGATAGATTTTAATGAAACTTTCAGGGAGAAAAAAATCATTGAATGTATTGTGTCAACAACTGAATGGATGTCCCAGCCAACAAACCTGAAGAAGCACAAAAAATGTCCATAATTGAATTCTACAGATTGGTTGTAGCTGAGAGTCATTTGCAAAACATGTTGTAAGTGCAGCCCATTGTGCACAATGTTTGCTTTGTTAAAGTCAACCCTGGTTGTCTGTTAGCAAAATATCTCATAAACTACCAGTTAAATTTTAACGACACTTTCAAAAAGTCATCATTAGATGTGCATCTGCAACGACTAATTTTTGGAGTCAATCCAATTTAACATGGCCGCCCCTGCTATTTTAAACACCAGCCAACAACAACAACAACAAAAAGATCATTACTCAGTAGCTGAGTCATTTATAACAATTCTCCAGCCACTAATTGATCATTTGAAATGTTGCATAAGATTGCCAAGAACATTCCTTTTAAGGTTTGACCAAAACTAAAACTCTGACTTGAAAGATACAGCATGTGTGATTTCCACAATTTAATCCACTTATGTTTAATTTACTGCCTATTTTTACTTTTGTCCTGTCCTTAATGACCAGCATCTCATCTTATTTGGAAAAGGAGTTTTGGTCTGTTTTCATGTCTTTGTCTTGCTGGATGGATGGATGATGAGTGCAGCATCACAGTCTCCTCTGTGGGTGAGACTCTGTGACCTCTGTGGGATGTTCTGTGTGAGAAGCAGCCTGAGAGGAACGCTCTGTGAGCTGTCAGGCACCACCGACCGACTTTTCCCACTTCTAGCTTTGTGAGAATTTACAGAGTCGTGCTTCTAAAGGCAAATCCATCATTTATGACACAAATTTACATTTCCAGTTCTTGGATAGTATCATTTGAGCATTTTACAGATATTCACACTTTTTTTTCTCAGAACAGGACTTTTGAGATGTTTGGCCTAAAATGGCACAATCGGCTTATTAAAAACTATTTGTTTAGTGTTGTTATAATGTATGGTTTTAATTAGCACATTTTAGAATCGGGGGTCATCATGTGCTGAGCGACCAGACAAAGCAATGCTGGCCTCTTGCAAACAGCTACTCTATCAACCCTTTGTATCAGAGAAACTCCGAAAAAAAACACATATTGATTGTTTGGAGCTAAAAGGTGCACTTTACATTACCAGCCAAAGGGAATACTGCTGAACCTAACCAGGAGCTCCGTGAGAAATCACCTTATCAGTGTGTTTAAAGGCTCTCCACTTGACATCGCATGGAAACAAGCTGAGATAATGCAGTTTGGGAGTCTGGACTGGGTGAGGATGGGGAGGGGTCAGTTTGGTGTGGGCCTTAAAGTGTCCTTTAAACTCCTTCTGACCGCGCAGCCAGGAATGTGTTTTTGAGACTCGCTTGAGTAGTAGTGCAGGATATTAGGACAACAAAAGAACACATTCAGCAGTTTGAGAGGATGCATGCGCTGCAAGTCTACATGTTGGCAGAGGTCAGTAAAGCTCAGAGACACCAGAGACCAAAGGCTTCAAAGACAGTGGTGCCTGTCGCTACGTAGGGGCATTTAAACTGACTGTCTTTTCCCTCTTTTTTCCCATTTAAATCGCAGCAGGCAATAGAAAAATAGCATTTTAACAACATACAGTCCTATGCCTTCCACCAATATTTCTCTCTGATTACACCAAACAGTTCAAACTAGTTTTAGAGATAAATCAAATCAAATCAAATCAGCTTTATTTATACAGCACATTTAAAAACAACTGCCATTGGCCAAAGTGCTTCACATATTGCAAACTAAAAACAAAGCATTGCTGAAAGAACACAAATGATAAAACCATAAAAATAGACCAAAGAAATAGAGAAACAACTCTCAAACTACATTAAAAACTTTTGAAAACAGGGGTGTTTTAAGAAGAGATTTAAAAACTCCATGAGTTGAGGCCTGTCTGATGTGAAGGGGCGGCTGGTTCCACAGTTTAGGAGCCACAACTGAAAAGGCTCGGTCACCTCTGTGGACCAGTCTGGACCGCGGGACAGCCAAGAGCAAATGATCACTGGATCAGAGAGATCTGGAGGGCACATAGGGCTGCAGGAGGTCAGACAGGTATTCAGGAGCCAGTCCATTCAGAGCCTTATAGGTCATCAGTAAGAGTTTAAAATCAATTCTAAAACACACAGGGAGCCAATGAAGGGAAGCCAGCACCGGGGAGATATGATCGCACTTCTTCGTCCGTGTTAAAAGGCATGCTGCAGTGTTCTGAACCAGCTGCAGTGTTCTGAACCAGCTGCAGCCTGGCTACCAACATACAGAGAGTTGCAGTAGTCCAGCTGAGATGTAATAAAACATGGATCACACAATCAAGGTCTTTGAAAGATAAAAATGATTTGATTTTAGATAAAAGTCTCAGTTTAAAAAATGATCTTTTTACTACAGAATTAATCTGTTTCTCAAAGTTGAAGTTTGAGTCAAAGATCACACCCAAGTTTTTGACGTGCARTTTAACAGATGGTTCCAAAGCACCCAGATCCTTAGGGAGAAGCACTGTGATTACCACTGGGTCCAAAGATAATAGTTTCAGTTTTGTTTTCATTAAAATTCAGAAAGTTTGAATCCATCCAAGCTTTGACCTCAGTGATGCAATCAAACAGTGGTTTTAGTAAAGAAGAATGATTAGGCCTCAACTGAAGGTAGATCTGGGTGTCATCTGCGTAGGAGTGAAAAAGTATGTTAAATTTTCTAAAAAGGAGATAATTCAGATTTTAGAAGTGAGGGACTAACAATAATACCTCACCTGTTGTGGATCCCACATAGCAGGTGTGGGCCAGATATGGTGTCAAACTGGCACTATTGGATGATGGCTGACAGGCCAAGTCAACCAGATGTGGGCCAGGTCTGGCAATGATGGCAATGGTTTTAAGATGGCATGCCACAACTGGTCCATTTGTGGTTTGGTTTATGTGGTGTTGGTGCATACATGGACCACCTCTGGCAAACTACATGTGGACCACCAAAAGGACATCATTTTTGTGGTATCTGGGCCGGCTGTTAGTGCATTGTGTGGGCCAGAACTGGGTCAGACACACTTTGCTACATAGACAGCTCTATGAACAACTTCAGTTTGGAGAAATTGTGTTCTTTGGAGAGAAATTGGAGAAAAGTTTTTATTTTGCGTCGACAACCTTTTTTTTCCTCCTTGCTACTACTTATCACACAGCTGCCTCGTATTTGTTGGCAGGGGGGGGGCTGTCCATGTCAAAAACAAACTTGACTTTGCATCATAACCTAATCTAAATACCTTAAAACTGGACTCTGTCTCTTTAAGAACCTTCCACTATTTCTGACACTCCCACTTCAGTTCGTCTTTACAATGGGTCGGGGGAGGGGTGCTCTGTGGGGCAGGGGCYTGGCTGCAGCTGAGCTCTAGGTAGGAGCTTTGTGTAAATAGGTGGTGCTTTGTACCAGCAAGCTTTTAGACAGCTCCACATGACTACCAAATGAGATTAAAGGATTTCTCAAACATGCATGAATGAGTCAAAGCAACACTCTGAGTAAGTTTTTAGTGAGGGAATGACATTATGATATACAGTAAATATCAAAAAGGTCAGTTTTGAGAAATAATGTCTTGCATACACACCTGCTTCATAGTATCCTTAGAATCCAGGGCCTCTGGCAGCGGAGTCTGGGAAAAACAGGGAAAATAGTTTTTATTATCATTTGTTCTAATTTAGTAAATGCAAACTTTAGATATCCAATCCAGATCAAACGTGCTACATCTTTCTGCTTAAACCAACTGGATTAGTTGTTGATGGCAAGCCCTGATTCACCAAAAAATTAAAAAATAAACAGATATAAACACAACTGGACCGTTTAAACCAAGATAATGATTAGGGTCAACAGAAACACATGATCTAACCTGTGTTGTCATTGTCTCCATCACGGAGTGGGTAGGTGTCAAGTGTGTGCAATCAAGTGGGTGGAAAGAGCTCAGAGAGGCTGCTAAGGAACATGCAGCCAGCTTCACATTTGGTTTTGAATTAAGACAATGCTTTCTTCTGAAAAAAACTTTTAAAAATTCCACATATTTATTTTTTAAAGAATAACCTGCAGGAGTCACATTATTACAATCTTAAAGCTACTGCTTTGTTAGTAAACCCAACAAAACTATGACTGTTCATTGGCCTAAAGGAGTTCCTCTTTATGTGTTTTTCTTTTATGTTTTATGTTTTTATGGCCATCCTGTTATTACTACTGCATTCCCACGGTAATGGTTTCAGTAAATCAAAATTATAAATCTATAAAAGCCACTCCCAGGGCTACTATTAACAGTGCCAGTGTATAGGCAGAGAAGCATCTTATAACTAATCATCTRTTTCTGTCACAGTTATTGATTCTGTTTATCCTAGAATTGATTTACATTTTCCAGGCCCATTTTATTATATTGATTGTTGTTACTTTTGATAACAGTACATTGTGTGGCATGGAAAAAATGATCAAATATCTGCAAATTATTTCTACATACATAATAATGAGAGGTTGGCAAATCAAATGAGAACACCCAGTCCTTTTAGAGCTCTGCATCTTCAGATTCACAGTAGAAACATTTAAAGTTTCTGTGGGTCACAGATAGTTGGACTTTACATGACTGAACTGGTATTTTGTTATTTTTATGATTTTTACACAAACACTATTAAAATGTTTTGATTATTAAAGATTGTAAGACAGAATATTCAACCGAAAATGTGATGATGTCATACAGTAACTTTTGCATTGTTATATCTGAGCTTAGCCTGGTAAAAACCAGACCCTGTACTTCACTTTGCTTCGTACAAGGGTCTGGACTTGCTGCATAGAGAAGCGATTCTTGCAGGAGGCGTGGCCTCTGCTGAAGCATGTGTGTGTTGTCGCTGTGAAGGAGGCTAAGCTAAGAAGCTAGCCAGAAATCTCGTGTGCTGTAAACAACCCTACTGAGAGCAGAAATACTGTATACCGAGCCAAACGAGACGACTGTAAATGAGAGCTGCTGCTTTGTCAGACAAATTTATTTTAATTTGGAAGCTTTATCAACACAGACTGGCTTCATTCACTTCCTCCACTGTTGAATGCTAAAATAACTAGCAGACACGCAGAACATCAACATCATTCAAAACTCCGCCTTCTGTTTGCTGATTGGCCCAGGTAAAGTAAACTACAAGCAGACACTGCACAGAAAATTGACGTTCTCTTCTCTGATTGGCCCGAATAAAAATCTGTTCCTTGTCTATGGGAGAAATCCCAGACGGAGCAGAGAAAGGAAACTAGAATTGAGCGGAGCTCAGTAGGAAGGCAACGGCCAGGCTAATCTGAGCTGCAACTGTGAGAAACTTTGATGAAAATAATTCACTCAATCAAGTGTCTATTTTTCCATGAAGTCATGCTTAGAAACAGGGCCCACCATAGCCAATTTGGTGCCCTAGGCAAGAATTCAAGTGGCGTGCCTTGTGTCGTTTTTCTAAGTGTCACTGTGAATTTCCATTCATTCAAAAAATACAAATTAAATAGTTTTGTTTTTGTTGTCATTAGAAAACAGGTTGACCAATAAAATAGTTAACAACGTAGTTCATTTGAAACAGGGACAAAGTCTAGTCTGTCAAGTTTACCTCATACCTGCCAACCTCTGCTGATTGCAATGAATAACTTGTACCTGTAGAGTGAAGCAGTTCTAGATTATCTCTCTCGAAACATTTTGTGAAGGATCGACCCAAAACTACTCGTTTTTCATCTATTTAAAGAGCATTTTGATAAATTCTTGGGATTAAAAAAACCAWCAACATAAAGTCAGTATTTTATGAAGGAAGAACACTGAAAACCTAAACTTTATCTGAGATCATAACTGAAACTTCCATGATACTTGTTTCGTTTTTATTTACACACTGAGCACCAAGTGTGATAAAATACTTTTATCAGGAAATATCATCTGCGCAATATAACCCCATGTAATAACAAAGCAGGCTGAGAAACCCACAGAATAAGTTGCCTTCATAAACTTGAGTAACCAGTGATTATTCAGCAGACTAAATCATGTTTGCTCCGAAAAAAGTTATTAAATATTTTTTTTCATCCCCCATTTTTGGCACCCCCTAGATGGACAGTGTCCTTAGTATTTGCCTATACTCCCTATGCCATAAATGTGCCTGCCCTGTTTGGAGGGCCAGTGCTTGGTTTGCAAAACTCCTGCAGCAACATTCAGAATGGTTTCAGACATTTTTAGGACCCCTACAACAACTGTTTTGCTGTTTCGGGAGAAAAGTTGTCACACATTTTTTTTAATCTTCTAAACTTCAGTAACAGGACTGTGATTCTCATTATGAAGTTCAGAACCCTACATACAGTAAAGTCACAAGACATTCTGGAGACTCTCTCATGAATGCTAAYTTATCAAAGTCCAGTAAAATGCATACTTGCTAAAATTTTGCAACCAGCTCTTCCACAATTTTAAATACTTCTTTAATCATTAAATTACAAACTTTTTAAAATCTTTTTTCATCTTGTGAAATGCAGACTACAGAGTGAACACATCCAAATTCTAATTGACTTCCATGGTACCTGAGGTCAGAATTTTTGTTAACTTAATGGTCTTCGTAAACTGTCATGCCTCCTACAAAAACACTATGGTCACATAGAAACTGACATATTTGATGACTGGATGTTTTTGTCACATACAGTTCAGGAATGTTTTCAATATACTGTATTATTGGTTTTCTCCTCAGATCTAGTAGATTRTGTCCTTGGTGCTTTTTTAAACCTTCAAAAGAAGATGAAAAAAGAAATAGAAATTGCAATTCAATTTACCTCACACTTAACAGGTTTTTCACACAGCGTGGAATCAGTATGTTTTCCTTTTGTTTTCTATTAGTGAATAACATAAAAAGCTTGACAAAAAGGTTAAATGTACAAAAACAAAAATCACATCCCATTATATGCAACACAGAAGCAGATTAGTTGATTGCGTGGATCAGGAAGTTACAGTCTTTAACACTGATAAGCATCTGTGCCTCTGCTCCTTCTGCAGATTTTGCAGCATGTTTCGTCTGGCCTGCAGTGCAGACAGCTACATCACATGATGTTGGTCTGAACAGCAGATTATTAGAACTTATTCATGGAGAAAAACAAATTCTCTCTTGAATGGGTGAGCAAATTAAAGAAAGAAAATCTGAATTTTGACCAGTCAGGATTTTCTGATCACAGGATTGTTGACTGAGGCACACTCTTGCATTGAGCATTTTTTAATCAATAACGGCCATAGAGCTGTATTAAACAACTAGAGTGCATGCTAATCATGTGGCTTTGTGATGCACTCCAGCAACAGCAGTCATTATTTAAACAAGTAAATATCTAAATTTGGCATTAAATAGCTTCGGGCTGACTGGTAAAAAACGTAAAACATAATATTAAAATGTAATATTAAAATAATATCATACTAAAATAACTGTAAGCTATAAAATGTGATTAAAAATGTATAAATCTCAAAAAGCTGTGAGCATCATGGCTGTACTAACAGAAGAGAAAAGCGGGTCACCTTTCACAAGTGTGTTGACTTTATCTTATTTACCTCAAYGTTAATGTGTTCCAGAAATGAAACTAAGAATGTAACCATTTAAAACTACATATAAAGCTGGTAATTATTGAATTGATAATGATTAGTACATTGTAGATAGTAAATTTTGTGGCAGATATTGTTCATCTGGGTCTGGCAGTAAGTATACTGCACTGTCTAAATCATGATACGGTTTAATACAAATTATTAAATAGTACACGCTGGTATTGCCTCTGATTATTGTAATATTAACACAGTGTAATATTTCTATATACTTCACTTTTACGTTTACATTATACATTTAACTGCAACTAGTAGAGTCATACAAGGTGAATAAAAAGTCACAGGCATGTCTGTGGCATAGGGAGTATAGGCAAATACTAAGGGTGCTAAAAAGCAACTTTTATAACTTTTAACCAGAGTATTGTTGATTTACTCTGTAATCAGTGGTTACTCGAGTTTATGAAGGTAACTTATTCTGGGGGTTTCTCAGCCTGCTTTGTTTCTACATGAGGTTATATGGTGCAGAGGATATCTTGTGATAAAAATATCATGATGCAGTCAAGACGAACTAACACTCACAAGGTGCTCAGTGTGTGAATAAAAAACTAAATAAGGATAATGGAAGTTTCAGTTCTAATCTCAGATAAAGTTCAGGTTTAAGTCTGGGTTTCAGTGTTCTTCCTTCATAAAATATTGATTATGGGTTGTTTTATTAATTCCAAGAATTTAGTAAAACGTTCCCCAAATAGCTGGAAAATGCATATTTTTAGGTAGATATTTTATAAAATGCTCCAAGGGAAGAAGAAAGAGAGCGAGAGAAAGTTTATATAATCTTAAGGGACTTGAGATGTTTATAAAACCTAAAATTCGAACAAATTTGAAGGATCGATGCACTTCAGTTCAAGGAATAAGATTGTGGAATAATCTGGAAAGTGATTATGGTTCAATGTGTTTGTTTAAGAGAATGATTAAAATAAGTTTGTTAAAGAAATATGAAACTGTGTGATGTACTGTATATCTAAAGTTGTTGTTTGAAAAAGAATTGAAGTTTTTATTTTGTTTTTTTTATTATTATTGTTTGAAATTAATTTTGGAAAAAAGGG